GAAAATGGATAACCAATGGGTCTAACTTTTACATTTGTAAAGCCTCAAATTGGGGGTTCCTCGGGTTAGGGAGATTAAGAATTCTCCCAAAGTGATCATATGCAAGAATTCATGGATAATATGGTTACCCATATTATTCGCCGGTTAACCCATTTTTTACCCGTATTAAATATGTGTTGGGTCGGATAATTTATCCGTTTTTTCATTACCCGTTTTCGACCCTAACCATATCTGACCCGACCAGCCCGTTTGCCACTCCTAGTTGGTTGTCTACTATAGAATCTTCAGGATATTAGTTGGTTTCTTATTTCCATTATCTGTTACTTTCAGTTACTGCAACGACTGCAGAGACCTTGACCTGTGTCGAGACAGAGCTTTGATTTATCAGGAGTGGCGTTGTGCTGTGCCCCAATGTGGGCAACCTTGTGATCGTGAAGCAACGGAAAATGCTCTTATTCAAATTGTGCGGCAGAGAGAGAGGCTATACCATCTTCAAGATCTGGTATGCCTAAAATGCCACCAGATTAAAGCTGCACATTTAGCAGACCACTGTACTTGTGCCGGGTCATTTAGCTGCAAGGAAGGTGTCTCGGAGTTCCGCAATAAAATGCAAGTCTTCTTCAACATAGCTGTAAATCAAAAGTTTCAATTACTCCAAGAGTGCACTTCTTGGATTTTGGAAGCCAGATAACCACAGCCTACAGGTATCAGATAGTTTCACCTCATTATCAGCGATAAATTGTTTGTGATCTCAACATTTGCTGGCTGTTCTGCATGGTGCAAGGGTGCCTCATGGTGTCCAAAACAAGATGTGATTTTTATTGATAGACATAATGTCGCAGAGTATTCTAGGAGTCCATGACATGGGAGCTGACCGGTTTTAGAAATTCAGCTGTCTACATGGGTTCGGTAATTTGGGCTGGATAGTCAAAAGCTGGTATAATGCCCCCGAGGACTGCTAGCACTGGAGAAGTGCCAGTTACCTCAACAGCTGCTCCCTTTTTCGGAGAGGAAAGATGGATAAGTAAATGTTGCATCCAATATCCCATACCAGATTTGCTGGTTTGGTGGAAAATTGACGACTATATACAGAGCATACATATAATTGCTTATTTGGAGGCACCAATTCGTCATCTTTTACAAGAGTTCCGTATCACGCTCTAGAAATGATGCATTCTGCATTTATGTTACAAGAGTTAAGCTGTATATATTCGTATTGCAAGAGTAGTGAAATGTAAATAGTCATCCTTTTTCGAAGCTTGTTGTGAAGCGTACATCACTCATGGGGATTATTTATGTAGTTATGAGAATAATGATTTGAATCTCAAACTTTGCACTTGACAAGGAACCAGCGGTATCTTAGTTTAGCTAGATATGCCTTCGATTGAAGTTGATTACAGAATGAACTACTGAGTAGTGGAAGAAATACTATTGAAACATAAACTTTGTAATTTAACACTTATGTTTCTTTATCTCCTTTTTCCCTCTGCCTAAGGGGATGTATGTACTTTTCTGCTTTACTGAACCAAACTTGCTATTTATTGATAAAAGGGAAAATGCACAAGCATCCCCAACCTATGATCGAAATCTCAAATACAGACTTTTCCTTTTTAGGTGTCCTATTACTCCCTGAAAAGGAAAAGTATATAGTTGGAACTTCGGTCATAGGTTAGGGGTACTTATGCATTTTCCCAGATAAAAAGATTTGCTGAATTAGGCTTTCTTTTATAGTCTATATATTCACTACTAAGACTTGGGGAGGGTGAGGTGTGTGCAGACCTTACCTCTACCTTATGAAGAGGTAGAGAGTATTTACAATAGACTTTCGGCTCAAGAAAAGCATTTTCAAAATCGGTTTGAAAAAAATAGGAGCAAAAAATTATGCTGAAAATACTATAGAAAGGAAAGAAAAAGTACCTGCCAGCAAAAGTAGTAAAGATAGCCAAATTATAGACAACAATATGATAATAAGAAGCCTTCAAACCTAGGAAACCATAAAATATTTGCTTTTGTTGGCGAATGTTCTTGCCAGTTGCCGGTAACAATCCATACATCAAACAAGGAGATAAGTACAAAGTTTCCTCTCTTCCAGAGTATGAATCAAAGTCATGGAAACAGTCCTCTACGAACACACTTCTAACACTAAAACATGAGCGAATTCATTGCTGCACTATCTGACTTGAGTATACATTATTTTTTTTGAAATGGTAAAGTACTTGAGTATACATATTTATGCGTGGGGTTCTTTACCAGTAAAAAATGGTCAAATTCCCCTTCTCAAAAAAAGGATGGAAACAAGGTGCCATGAATAAAATGCGATAAAACATACTCCCTCCGTTTCAATTTAAACGACACTTTTCTTAGTAGTCCGTTCCAAAAAGAATGACACATTTCTATATTTAGAAACAATTTAACTTTGAACTTTTTACTTTACTCATTTTGCCCTTAATGAGAAGCTTTTCCACAAAAATATTATAGTCCCACAAAGCTTTTACCCTTAAGCTTTTAGAATCACATATTTCAAAAGTCTTCTTTTCTTTCATAAAGATTGTGCTAAGTCAAACTACCTCATCTAAATTGAAACGGAGGGAGTAATAAATTATTGAATGTGATGGTAGTACTACATACGACCATGTAAGCATTGTTTTCACCAGAAGAACCATCTTTTCTTGGTAGGTTCACTTTCAGCTGGCTCATCCTTCTTCCTGTTCTCCATTCCCCCCTTCAGGGCCTCCAGCCTTTTCCTGCACGAGGATTAAACCTTAGAAAAGGGTGCTACAAAGAAAGTATGATATCCGTAGTAATTAATGGAACGACTGTTTGCATATGGAAATCCTTTTTTCTTCTTTGTCATCAATGCT